GGCTCGGGCGCGGCCTGCAGGGGGCTCTGGGCCGCCTCCCGCCGCCACCTTCCGCGGGACTCGACGCCGGCGCTCGGTGGCCCCGCGGAGGCGCCGGGCAGGCTCCGTGCTTCCCCTCGCCGTGTCGGCAGGGCGCTAAGGAGCTTAGCCGCCCGCCGCGGGGCGCGGGAGCCGCCGTGCGTCTCACCTGCGAGTGGGTTTAACGTTTAACGCATGTGCTGTGGTCATCCCCGCCGCTGTCTAATCCCTCTGAGGTTTTCAGTGCGTTTAAGCGGGCTTCCTTGGGCCTGTGTTTCTGCACCCGGGCTCTGCACTCTGTGGCCTGTCAGTTTTGGGCCTTTTTTACTTATTGGCTCGAAAGCTGCCCTAGCAGGACATGAGGTGAGTTTGATCTGACTGCCCTCAGCATGGTGTCTGTGAGCACGTCTCACCGAGTGCTGCTTCCAGGACGTTGGGCGCACAAAGCCACATTTGGGCTCATTGAAGTCATACCTATTGTCTCCTAAGAAGTGTCTGCTGTACCAGATGTGTGTTGAAGGCTTGAAGCGGCTAATAAAAGTTCTTCCAGTTTGGGAATGTTCTAGGGCAACTTAAGTGTGACATGAATGCTGAAGAGAAATCACCCTCACCTTGTAATTTCTTGAGTCATCTGCAGAGATGCCCGTTTGTCAGGAGCTGGAGCGTTACTGGGGCTGTGAGTTACAGTGGAAATTGTGGGCTTCTAAATGCCAAATTTATTCAAGTTTGCAGTAGTTTAGCTTGGTGAGATGTCAGCGCACTTCATGAGTTCTGTTTGCTCTGGTGTCTCGTCTAGTAGCTGCAGGTTTTTCACTGAAAGTTAAAGTGAATGCTTACCTGGTTTAATAAAACTCTGAAGACATCTGTGGTTTCCTTTAGCTCTAAAGCTGTGGGTCACACTGGTTATTATATTTCTGGYGTTACTTTACAGAACGCTGTGGCCATGTGGCAGTAACCAGCAGGTATATTTTATGAACGCTCCTTTTTCCTTTTCCCAACTATTAATGTTAAATAATGCTGTATTTTCCAATGCATTTGAGAATGCCTCCAGCTTGGTTGCAATAAGGGGGTCTGAAATAGCTAGATGGGTATCTGCAAAGGGAGGCCGAGTGGCAGTCAGCAGCTCTGCTGAGTTGCCAACAGGTCAGTAGCCACATATGCTTAAAGAGTAGTGTATATTCTGTGTAATGCTACATACTTGATAGTTATCCAGAGCGATAATTAATGGGGGGAAAAAGCAGCCCGTTGTTTAGAAATGCAGGGGGCTGCCTTCCATTTTAACCTCTTCAAATGAGAGCAGGCATGGGGTAATTTGAGGTTAGTTGGTGCAGACTTGGATCTTGGAGCTTTTTTTCCTCAGAACTCTGTAGAATACATGGTCAGCTGTACTACAGGAAAACTGTCCTTTGCGTAAAGGAAAGAGAACACTTTTAAAAGTCAGTTCTGAATTAAAGCTGACTTGAGTCCCAGAGCCAAAGTGTAAAACTATTCTGATGGTTTGTTCCTATGGTGGAAGTTAATGCAGCTGTGAGCCTCAGCGCTGCTGAGCCACAGAGAACTGTGGCTGGTTTCTTCTGGCGTTTTAGGGTCTGGTGTTAAAAGAAGTGGTTGCATTCACGCTCCGAGTGTTCATTACGCTGAATTCCATGTTTACCACAAAAGTCAAGCTTTGAGGCTCAGATTTTGCTCAGGCTTTTCCAGGAGAGTTGTTGCTGTGTGTGGTACCTGTGTGTTTTGGGGAGGAGCAAGGTGAAAACTACCCTGATCCTGCCAAGTGGGCAAAGGGCCAGTGCAGTTTTGTGAGGGTGAGGAGCTGGAGAGGCTCTCTGGAGAACCTGGATTTGGGATGATTGGAATTTCAGTTTCATGTTGTCTAATACGAGCTCTTCTGTAAATATCCCAGTGTGACAGTAAAGGTCTTGATGTTGCACAAAGCTTGAGCACCTCTGAGGTCCTYCTTTAAAAAAGCTGCCCCACCTGTGTTAAATCTAGTTGTTCAAAATAATCTTTTCCCCAGGTTTTCAATACCTGCTTGCTTATCAGAAATCATCTTCTGCACCAACTGTTCCTCGTTTGAAACCCTGCTGAATCAGGAGCAATGTTGTACAGGTGCGTTTAGTACTTGAGACCTCTTCTAATAATTGCCATAAAAGGTGCTTTATAATGTAGTTGCTCACACTTAGTTTAGGTTTTACATGTTTGATCTTTATTTCAAAGGACACCTGTAAGAAATAAGCTACTTAAGCACTGTATTGTTTGGGAAACCACTCAAGATACCTGGTATTTTGTATTGCTCTATTCAGCCTTTTCCTCTTGGGAGAGAAAAAAATGAGGGCAAATGCTGCTACTACATTACTTAAGCAGCGACCATCAACACCACCTTCCTTCCAGAGCTTGTAGGGTGGTGACAGTGCTCCAAGGCTGGTGTTGGAGGGTAGTGTGGAGTTTAGTGTCGTTGTACCCAGTGATGGAAAATCCTTTTCCTGAAAGAACTGAGCAGAAACGGTATCTGGAGAAATGTCTAGCACCTTGTTGTAGCGCTTGCGTGAGTGCTTGCAGGGAGGAGATTCCTCCTTTATGGCAGAAAAGGCTCTTTCCCTTAGGGTTTAGTGTGCTGAGAAGCCACCTCTTCCACCCAGCAGAGCACCTTTGCCTTGTTAAGTCCTTCTCTGTCGTCTTCAGGGAGTTTATTACCTCATCTCAGGAATAATGAGGGTTTTTTTTTTCCCTTCTGTGGAAAAGCCTGGCGTTTCCAGCTGACTTTTAGAATTGTGCTTGCAGTTAAGTGATTCCTCACTTTAAATCTTTGCCTGATTTAAAATGTTAGACAACAGTTTAGCCATTTGCTATGAGTACCCCTTTCACTGGTGCAAATCTAGCTTGGATTTGTAAGTAGCAACCCATTGCATTTTGCTGTGTGGATTGAATTGGTTGAAAATCAGGCAGTCATTAGCGCAGTATCTCAGCCTTGCTGCTCGGTCTTTCAGGAAGTCCGAGACCTGAATTATGAATAATAAATTGGTCCGTGTGTTGTAGTATGCTAAGTAATACGTTGTCCTGGGGTGATCTTCCAGTTGACGCATGAGTTGCGTAGTTAACGATGCTTCCATGACTGTTTTTGGTATTGATTGCAGTATCAAAGTCCTAGAAACAAAAGCTGCTATCATCGGTGATAGATTTGCTTTCTAGAATTGAGTTTTTAACAAAATGAAGGAGCAATGCTCCAGCAAAAGTTGCTGAAGACACTGCTATCCTAACATAAATGTTAGGAGTGAAGGGTCGTGGTACTTAGGAGGGTCTTGATCATTTCCTTAGATGCAGAGAAGCGCTGTGTGTGGGCGAAAGCAGAGCAGGCATGGCTTTTGATTTAGCTTTATCCTTTTCTGCAAGGGCTAATAAGCTTATCAGTTTTGAGGGAGCTGCAAAGAGGCCGGAGCCTGTTGTGCCTCTTACACTTTCTGCTTATTTCCTTATTGTCCTTAGCCTTGTTTCAGGCAGTGATTTCAAATCGCATCTCTTGTATCGAGGCAAGCGATAGTGCTTCGTGTGTTACGCCGTGTAGGTGAGCGCAGCCCGTCTGTGTGCCTTGCCTGGCATCGCTCCGACCTTGCTGCCAGCTGCATTAGGCCCCAATGTGCTTAGTTTCTGCATAATTTTAAATGACCTTAAACGAGCTTCTTTGCATTTTGATGCTCTATATCCTCAACAGCTGGATCAGCTTGAACTCAGTTGCTTGGGCTTGCTCTCTCCACAATATAGCTTGGAAACTTCTGGGGTTTGGCTTCCTGGCCATACACTGCGGATGAGCCCGTGATGCTCATGGAGAAGCTGCGTTCCGCTGGTGTGAGTTAGTGCCATTTTCAGTCAATTGCCTGGATGGCCCTAACCAAAACGTTATTGATGATAGTACAACCCATTGCCTATTTGAGGGAGTTTTTTTGAGTTGAAACCTTCCCTTTGCCCCCTGCCTCACAGCAACAGGGCCTGTTAGTGCAAAGTTTGCGACTGGGACTGCTGAGATGTGAACGGAAGGAAAACTGGGGGCTCAGCACTGGAAATACCAAATTGCTTCTCTCCAATTAATTCCTTGAAGTTCTCCAGGTTGCAGCGATGATGGCAGCAGTCACTAGCTCTTAAGCAGTAATTGGTGTGTTTTTCAGCAGCAGTAGTAATTGAAATAACACCCACTGCTTATTCCTGCTGCACACACCCCTTCTATGGGTGTCGGTGCAGCAGTTTGCGGGGTCGTGGTGAGCCAAATTGGGGAATTGATTGCGACTTAAAGGAAAAAGGAAACCAGTGTGTTTTTCCAGGTAGGTTCTAATCTAGATGAGTTACCTGGTTCATTTTCTGGTGGATCATGACTGGGACGGGCCCAGGTGTGGCAGCGGGAGTGGGTGTTGAAGCAGCACTTGAACAGCCACTGGGAAAAGGAGTGTTTTTACTTCCTCTCCGTTCCCTGTCGGCTTGGGAGCTCGTGGAAAGAGCAGTGTGTTACCTGTCAAAGTTAAGCACACCCTAGGTATTTTTTGAGGCAAGCAGATGCCTTCTGCAGTAACAGCTTCACTTGGTGACTCTGTGTTGTCACCGCGACCTGTGCGTTGTCTGGAGGCACCTGGATTTGCGCCCCGTGTCTCTGGCGATGTGGTAGCGGAGCTG